GCGGCTCCGGCTATTTATAGGCAGCATTGCAGAGACTGAGGTGGGACTGTGGGGCGCTCGGGGTGGGGACGGTCGGGGCCCTGGGGAGTCTTAGAAGCTGAGACAGCTTGGAGGTAGAGCGCCATTGCCCAGGGGATAGGGTCGGAGTCCTTCCAAGATGAGAGGGGAGAGGTGGCCATCAGTGTTTCCTGGTGGCCTGGCTTCCCTGCTGATCAGAGGATTGAGGAGACAGGGTCCAGGTTTGGGGGAAGGTGGGGTCAGTGACCAAGGGAAGGTAATCGAGGCCTCCCCTCCTGTTTGACAGGGTGGAGGGTGGAGGCAGTGTCCTCTGATAGGGTGAGCCCATGGGTGACAGTGTGGAGGGTTCAGTGTTTGAGTGACTAACAGAGAGAGTAGCAGTCAGTGGGGGGGGGGTCACTGTCCTAGTGATACACTGGAGGGGTGTGGTCAGTGTCTGGGAGGGGACCCTGTGTAGTGCCTGAGGGATAAGCTGGAGGGTGAGGCCAGCTGTGGATGGGGGGAGAGGGTTATTGTCGCCTGGGTTGAGAGGGTGGGGATATATGGGGACATGGAGGGGTGTGGGTGTCAGTGTCCAGGTGATAGAATGTGGTGGAGCCAATGTCTGGGTGAAGAAGGTGGTGGGTCAGTGTGCAGTACCCCCCCAGAGGTGTGACCCTTTCCTGCTTCTTCAGCAGACCATGTCGGGTGAGGACCAAGAGGTGCGGACAGTGGATGAGGATGGCTCCAATGGAGGCAGTGGCTCACCCAGCCCTGGGGACACACTGCCCTGGAACCTGGGGAAAACACAGAGGAGCCGGAGAAGTGGCGGTGGCTCGGGGGGCAATGGAAGTGTCCTGGATCCTGCCGAGCGGGCAGTCATCCGCATTGCAGGTAAACGAGGGCATGTCTGTTTAATTTGTATCACTTGCTTGTTGACTGAGCGACTGCTGTGTGCTGTGTACGGTTTGAGACTGGCACTGGAGGCCTGAGAGTGATCTGCAGGTCAGAAAGGGCCTCTGCTGTCCCAAGTGACTGCAGATAGCACAGCACCACCTGCTGGCCCCACCCGGTCTGCCACATGGGGCCCAAGGTCTGGCACCCGCTGCGCCAACACTGGCCTGGTGAGAAGGTTCCAGTGCCCAAATTCGATGACGATGATACTTTCTTGGGCTCCTGGGGCACACCTGCCTTCCAGGCCCCTTGGTCTTGGCTGTCACCATGGAGGGCGGTGGAAACATGTAGGTGCAGGACAGGAGGGTCCACCTGGGTGGCAGAGCCCCATCCTCTCCCTGAGCCTGGGCCTGGCAGTGCTCCCCAGTAGCTGCCGTTCTGGAGAGAGGATGGGAAAGGCCCAGCGAGAGGTCCCTAATAGCCTGGGGCTGGCAGCTGGACAGCGGCTCCAGCCCTTGGTGACCTAAAGCTGGACGCCACCAGCAGGATGTGCTGGGCAAGGGAGGAGCCCACTGAAGATCTCTGGGCCCAGGCCGCTGTGGTCTCCCAACCTCATTCCACTCCTAGCGTTGGACGATGGTGCCGAGGCGTGGGGGGGTGGGGGCAGGGCTGGCCCCAGGCCTGCGGGCAGAGGCTGGCAGGCCAGCTGCTGAGCAAGGATGGTGCTGCAGGCAGCGAGGGACTTTGTGGGCGGAAGCTTGGGGAAACAGAGAGGAGGCCAGCAGGACAGCATGAAGGCTGGTGGCCAGCCCCAACCCCAGGGGCGGGTGCGGAGGGGCACATGGCCTGCCCGTCTTTTTCACATATCACATATGGATTTAAAAACGAGGTCTTTTTTTACCCACATGAAAGCCAATCAGGAACGTGCTTTCACAGCCCTTCCTCAGCGTCACCCCTGCCCCCCACAGCGCCCGCAGCTCTCACTGCCCTGAGTGCTGGTGCAGCCGGCGGGGCCTCGGGCCTCGGTGCACTGGCCTGCTGACTTTCTCAGGGCTGATTCCTAGAAGGGAGGCTTCTGGTCACAGGTACACAGCATTCGAGGTTAGACAGGAATACACCAGGGTCGTTTAAGAAAGGATATTTGTCAGTGCCCAGACAAGGGTCTTTGCAAACTCCATGGGTGGAAAATAATGTCTTTTATTATTACCGAGAATTTTAAAATGTCCATTCTCTACTTCATTCCTATTTTATACAGGTTTTTTTTTTTTCTTTTTCTGTTTTAAGGGCCCTTTTTATGTTGACGATACCGACTCTAGCTCCGGT